TCTCACTATAGATATAATTTTTCTGGATTCTGTTCTTTTTGTTCCTGAGGCAAACCTAAGGTTGGGTGAAGGCACATGTGAAATTAATTTAAATTTCACAAGAAGATTTAGGTACTGATACTTATTAAAACATAGTTTTGGCTGAAGCAGTGTATTTTTTGCACCTTGACCTCTTCCAAGGATTTCATTTAGCTTTTGAGCTTCCCCATGATCACGATGCTTGATTGCTCTGAGACCTGCAATTGATTGAGCTTATTCCTTGCACCAGCAGTCCGCGACGCTGCTGTGGATTGGCTGGGAGAGGGAGGGGGAGGGGGAGGCGACAGGAATGGGAGGAGAAATTAGGTTAAGAATTAGGTTTTAATATACTACCTGATTTTTACAAAAATAAACTTAAAATCTAACTTTTAAAAATGACAAACTAAACCCCTGATTTTATATAATTTTCCCATTTATTTCCAACAAGCACCGGTCTTGCATTCCTTGTGTTGTGAAACGGACGGGAGAACTGGATATAAAGTATAACCTAAAAATGTGGATGGACATATTTCTCTAGTTATTTCACCTTATGTTTCTCCTGAGTTGTACGGATATGTGACACATGTCAAGTATACTATGACATGATTTTTCTAAAAAAGTAGGACTTGAACATAAATATATCGATTTATATTCTTTAAAATTTTTAATTTCTGTAATATCTTTATCCTTACACTTTAATATAGGACATGGAATATACCATGTCAGATATTTGCTCAAGAATGTTCCTCAATTACCCATTCAAACTTAGAAATTTAAAAAAAGAATAGAAAAATAGGGAATTAGGTAGCTTGCAGGACCCACGTCACCAAGAGTGCCAATATCCATATGACATAGTATGCACTAACGGAGCAAGACATTCTTATCCGTGGGCCAAAAATTAAGTTGAATTTTTTTGAAGCAACAAAACATTATTGTAAATAATTCGATAAATTAATAAAAATATTGCCCACACGTTCCCATACTTTGTAATCGTCATATAATTACATTGTTATCAATATTGTCAAATGCATCATTTTTAAATACTTAATTAAGCTATCATTCAATCGTCGATTTCCAATCCAATAGTGTTGTCCAAACCGTGGGTTTGAGGGATTGAGATGTTTGGCACTGAGGTGGAGAAAAAGTCACAGTCTTTGGTGTCGTAGCAATGAACTGAGTAGAAAAAGACAAATATTTGATATAAATGGCAAACATAGGTATTGGAAGAAGTGGAATTCTGAGAAAAGTTGGGAATATACGAAGTGAAAAAATATAGAGCATCACATCCTGTTATAGGCATGACGAATTTCCCCAACTCTTGTGTTCTTATTTCTCTTCTATGCAAATAGTTGAAAAGTGAAAAATTCATAATTTTTTGTTGGGTAAGCTGACCCCTCAGGACATGTAAATCTGCCCGTGAAGATATTTGTCAAACTCCGACACAACTCTAGTAGAATGTACGTGCATCATATTTTATTTTTTCATAGCCCGTCTCTAGTTCCCAACAATTATATGGTTTGGGGATAAGAAAAGTTCGATAATTTCAACATTTAAATTTAGATCAAACATTGCATTACAGGTATAATATTTCTTCGATTTAACCGTAATTATTTTTTGAAACCGCGAGAAGCCAAGTTTATATATATAATGTCACAATTACATAGCTATACCAATTGCTTAATGTTTCGGTTTCTCATGAACTCGGATTCTTGTCTATGGTTTATTTGAAGATATAAATCCCACAATTTATTGTGATGGTATCCACTGTGAGTTAAGAACTAAGTTTGTCATGGTTTGACCACTGAGCAAAATGTTTTTCTTATTCCTACAACTTTTAAGGTTAAAATTACAATGTGTGAGAAGAAAGAACACGTTGCTCGTGGACTATACTGCAGTTTCTAATTGTAAAACAACAAAGAAACGCTCTTGCTCGACCAAGATTGCCTTGGAATCTCCCTCTCTCATCTCAGCCAAAGGGTGAGAGTGTGAGACAAAAACACAAGACGAAGAAAGGCCTACACTTTTGACTGTTAAATTGAACATACAACTTGCTTTTTACACCCAAAAATCGGCATTAATAGATTATTCCAAGCATGTTTTGTTGTCATGTTTCGTGAAGGTTCAAGCTCAACTTGCAAGTACTTTAAGCATGATATAGGTAGAAGAATTGGGTACACAACAATATTCGTGATATACACTATACTTGTCCTGAGATTATACCTTGTCAATACAATTGCATAAAAAAAAATTGTTTAACGAAAATAGAGTTATACCCTCGAACTCTTAATCAACAATTCTCTACCTCGATTCAAATTTTACATATGAAAGCTACATAAATTTCATCTTGTAAATATCTAATAATATTTGTAATCGAACCCAACACTTGAATTACAAAACTCTTATATATTACATGTGCTTACTCTATGAGTAATGATATCTAGTTCCAGTGGTTTTAAATACGAGCCAATGTAATAGTATGGTCACTACTATATTGTCCAATGAAGTTAAGATACATTTTTATTCATTAGACAATGCTGATACCTAGGACCACGAATACATATCGATTCATGGCCCACCACCATAATTGTTATACATTATTTCAAGCAATCGGTTTTATCGGCCAAAGAAAACATTGACAAATAAAAGGATCCTTAAATGTATTTTTGGGCCTCAGGAATATCGAAGAATATCCCTTTTGTCAGTTTTTTTTGCTCACTTATTGTATTTCACTATCACTATTCCTTATCCTTAGTGTTATGAAATATATAGTCATGATTTTGGACATATTGATATATACTATACTACACGCAGACGCTTCTCCTCTTTGACTATGAATGATTAAGCTCATGTTTGGTGGGGACTAAAATTAGATTTTTAGGAAATTTTGAAAAGTTAATGAAATGTGTGGCTAAAAAGTTGTGGATCTCATAAGATATATTGTTAAAATTAGTTGTTGATTTTGACTTAAATTAAAATTTATGTTTTAGTGACTCCCTACCAATAAGGGCTAGTTAAAATATATAAAATCATTCCTGTAAATTGAGAATTGAAATCTAAATAACAAGAAAAGTAGATGTAGGTAAGTTTTGGTGTGTGTGGTAAGTAAACTAGAATCCATTATCAAATGCTATAGCCTCACTATAATTGTCCAGCTTTTGAACCAAAAATATATATAGAATTTCATAAGTCATGTTTGACAGGACAGGACACGATACGATAGGACACGGCAATGCAAGTTTATTTCTAGATATGACTAATTCTACATGAAAAACATACATTTGTCATATAAATTAAAGAATCAGCTTTATAAAACAGACCACGCTAGTGGTACATCAAGATTCATATCGGGGTTTACACCTCTCTCACATGGGGGGGTGGGGTCCACTCGAATAAAAAAATATTATTTCAATGGGTCCCACCTCCCATGTGAGAGAAATGTATCCCTTGATGTACAAACTTTGATATACAAGTGGAATTGTCCTTATAAAACCCATGTTTGGTATATATCGGACTTTTATTAGATTTTAATAAAAATTTGATGAAATTTGTGATTGAAAAATCGTAGATTAAATAAAGAAAATAAAAGAGAACTACTACTAAAATGCAAAATAGGGATTCTATTAAATGTGAAGTTAAAATTAATTGTTAACTTTAATTTTGAATTTAATCAAATTTTTTAACTCAAACAAAATGAAATACATTAATGTGTGCATATATAAATCGTGTGAACAAAGTTTATATACTTCTCTTCCCATTCCCAACAATTTAAATGTAACATTACATTATAACACTAATATATACTAGAATAATATCAATTATGGTTAGGTAAAACGTGCAGAGTACCAAAAGAAATAGTATTAAAATTTGAAAGATGGTGAGGAAACACTTTCCAAATGTCAACGTTTATATATCTTCAATTCCGATGAGGAAAACGAAATACATACAAGTTTATATATGTATATGCATGGACACAATTGACAAAGGTTGATCACAATCAACAATTTTGTACATGACTTCTCTTCGGTCCCATCGAAACCGGGTGGAAAGCCTAGAAGCCGGGTATCAGCCTGAATCCGAGACAAGAGATACATTGATGGCCTCGGAGAGATTAGCTCGGATAGAGCTGTCCCTCTACCAATCAGAAGAAGCCGGGAATCAGACTGAATCCGAGACAAGAGATACATTGATGGCCTCGGAGAGATTAGCTCGGACTGAGCAAGACGAAACCATTTACTTTCATAAAATTATTCTCACAAAAAAAAAAAGAAAAAGAAAAAACCGGCGAGACCAATATAAGAAGCATGGTCCATAAATTAAAAGGATCAAACCTTAGTCTCTTGTTCTTGTTCTTCATCTTCCTTACATAGTGTCAATTGCGTTAGCGTCCTTGTCATCTCCTCGGTGGATTTGGTCGGTGAGGAACAAGGGGACGACGAGAGACCAGATGCCATCAACGTGAGGCAACCTTCGCTCCAAGACCGCCTAACACGATAGGCCACGGCTCTATGTTTTGACAAATGCGAGCAACTTTGACGCAATTTATGTAGTTGGCACCCGCAATTTTTATGGTACGGCCTTCTTTGGATCCCCGTGTCGCCGCCTGAAATGCACCCTTCGAATACACCACGGAAAAGTCCATCTCCAGCTGCACCTGTGGCCATTGATTTCTTTCTACCTTCGAGATATACTTCTTATTTCTTGGCCAGAGTATGGAAGAAATGGCGCAAAAACAGTCAATTTTTTATGGCTAAATATCAAGACAAGGATGGTTGGTTGCTTGTGTGGGTGTTTCTTGTGCGACTAAATATCACCCTTGAACATAACGTGCCATGTGGGACGTGTCTTAGACCTAGTACGAGGAGTGGGTCCTTTTTAATAATATTTTCTCACTATATTTTAAATTACATGCAATAAATCAAAAGAAATATGAGAAAAATTGTGGTAGGCTTGATTTGTTTGGATGTTGCTTGAAAACTCGATGAACTTAAATTGTACTTATATTTATTAATTCATTAGAGAATTAAAAAAAAATTACGAACCTAAAATTAAAATTTAAGATGAAGCCGATGATCGACGATCTTCTCCAACATATGGTTTACGAGAAAGAAGTGTGTCCATGCATGGTGAGTGTGGGGTGGGGTGGGGTGGGGTGGGGATTCTGGTGGCACAGAGAGACAAATTGAGAATAAAAAATAAAAATGAGTTGAGGGACACGAGACCAAAATCATAGTTTTCCACAACCCCAAAAGTGCAAGGACACTTTTTTGACTAAAAACTTGTAGGTTTTTCCGAGAAGAAAACCTAGAAAATAGGAAAGAATTTTGTAAGCTATAGGTTGATTTTATGTTCTTAGAAATTTTCAATTGTTGTGTAAAATTGGCGTAAATTGATGTTTTTATAACTACTTTTACATTCTTATTTACATTTCGATTGATCTAAATTTAAAATTTACTCCGATAAAAGTAATATCTAAATCAATTTTCTGCCTCTTGTTAATATATAGATACATGTCTTTTTTTTTTTTTTTTTTTTTT